GGGGGGGGGGGGGGGGGGGGGGGGGGGGGGGGGGGGGGGGGGGGGGGGGGGGGGGGGGGGGGGGGGGGGGGGGGGGGGGGGGGGGGGGGGGGGGGGTTGAAACGTGTCGGGAACATTCTGCGGAGCCACCTGCTGTCTCTTACAAGTTAGAATGCCTGAAGACCCTTCCCCAGCCCGGTTTGGCCCTTGATCTGAGCAGGACGTCAGGACCCCGCCCGCCACACGGGTCTTATCCATACACCGCGTCATTTCCAAAGCGGACTGACAAACTCGCCTTTCCGTCCGGCAAGCCGAGCACGCACACCCCGTTCTCGTGCCCTCCGAGCGTGACCATGCAAACCCCTCCCGCCACGTCCCAGACCTTCGCCGTGCCGTCCCAGCTCCCGCTGATGAGCTGCCTCGATGAAAAGCAACAAGTTCCGATTTTCCGTTCGCGTGTGTTCGTGTGCAAAGCGGGCAGAGAGGCAAGGGCGGCGAGGGAGAATGAATGCGAGATGCCTCGGCTGGCCAATAAGAATAAACACCTTTCCACTCCTGAGCTCAATTTACCAAGCGAATGCTGTAGGTGACCCTTGCAAGAATACATTTCGCCGCTTCTACCCCTCCGTAAGCTGTGATCGAAAATAATTAGCGACGACCCCTCTCTGCGTCCCTCCCCTCCTCTCCAGCCATTCTTGCTGCTGCCGTCCACCTAGAATCAACGCCCCGTTTTCTGTGGCCTTGTTATTGCAGCACCGCGATCACACCGCTTCCTGAACCGCACCTCTTGCTGAAAAACGACACTGTCATGGAACTCCCCTGTACCGCCCCCATGAAATAACCAGAACCTCCTGCGTGCGGACCCTCCAACCGAAAAGAAGCAGAGACCGTCTCCTCGTTCGCACTCTTCGAAGACACGGACGCGACGCGCAACAACAAAAGATCCCCCTCCCCAGTGGTCTAACCGCGAAGGCATGCAAAAACATGACGTACGTCCCGGCTTTGCAGGGATGAGAGGTCGACGGTATAACGGCTACGGCATGCACGACTATGAGTACCCCACCTGGCCGGCCGCTGTCCAGCTGAAAGAAATGACACCGCCCTCGTGGCCCTGGAGTATCCGCTGCTGCCTTCCCTGGTGGTCGTACACCCTGACGAGCTTGTCCAAGCACCCGGTCACGAGGCCCCCCTGGGGACACTCGGGGACTATACCCGGCGGAAGGGCGGCGAGGGAGACGACCCAGTGGTTGTGGTCCGCAAGGGTGCCTGTCGACAGAAGGAGAAAGCGAGCATTTCCCAGACGACAGAAAAAAAAAGAAGCAAAAAAGAGCATCATGTGATGCCTGCCGCCGAAAGGAGAATATGGTACTGTACCATGCTTCGTGACACAACCAAGCAACCGAGCAGCATAACCCCCTACACACACAGTCAGCCGGTTAGCGCGGTCGATGCGAACAATAAAAACACACGCACACACTCGCCACTCAGCAACAACAACCTACCTCCGATGTCGTAGTACACTCCGCCGCCCCCCTCGCTCTTTCCGTCCTTTAGTGTCCACAGTCTGGCGGTGTGGTCTTGGGAGGCCGATGCCAGCCGTCCGTCAGGGAGGGCCTGCACAGCCCTCACCTACTCATTCGTGCAATCCGAAGTCCGTCGGAAAGGGAGAGAGAGAGAGCGAGAGAGAGAGAGAGAGAGAGAGAGAGAGAGAGAGAGAGAGAGAGAGAGAGAGAGNGACGCGAAGATGCGTCTTGTCTTCGCATTTACAAAACTACGTGGAGCTTCGAGAATACATTACTTCGAGCGGAAACAACCTTCGGACGTGTTCGCGAAGGTGTTCCACAGAGCACGACTACCTGAGGAAACACCCACTGCGTTGTTCAGAAGGGGTCCAAAACATCTTACAGGTGATGTTCCCTAATTTCTCTGCTGCAGAAGGTGCCCGTCAAGGCGCAGGCAGGCAGTATTGACCCTCCCGGTCACCATCTGGTGTGTGTCGATCTGGCTTGGCACTCTGCGCGAGAACATGCAACCAACAGTTGCAAAAGCCGTGTGCTGCACGCGTCCTAAGGCTCATCCTTGAGGTCTGCGTTCGAGCTCGTGGCTGTCATTAACCTCGTCAACACTGGTACCGCGCGATCGTAAGTGTTACGCCGGCGTGGCAGTTCATGTTAGGTGGACGTTGGTCACGCGCCGCGAGCCTTGTGTACATCTGGTGACGCCAAACAACCAAATAACCTATGAACATTCCTACCCCCGACCCCTTCCTTTCTTCCCCTTGCTGCCTCGGCAAGGTTTTGCGTAGGCATGACCCATAGCGAGGGGGGGGG